GTCTTACATGTCAACACAGGGAATCAACTTGCAGACATTTTTGACGAAGCCATTACATCCAGGACCTTTCTACTCCCTTCTTAGTCGTCTATCAGTTTCAAGCCTCTTCACACCTTCAGATGATTCGGCTTGAGGGGGGTATATTAACATATATAGAGTATAGTCAAAATAGAGATTAAGTCTCCTTTAGCTTAACTCTATAGCTTACTCTGTTGTACATATAAATACTCTTTGTACTGAACATTTAACATTAATGAGAAATCTACACTTTATTCTCAAGTGTTAATAGCAATATTTTACAGCTTCTTTGGACAAAACTATCCTTCACAAAAATCTTGAATAATTAATTACCCAATTAACAAACACCATTATCAGTTAATAAAAGTTTCTATATTGTGTAGTGATTATCAAATCACCTAATTTGATTTTTTTTATCGATCGATGGTTTTGAACCAACGGTGCCGACGTGCCCAATGTGTGAAAGTTTTAGGATTGAAGTTTATTGATTACAGAGAAAAAGGACGAGTAATGTGAGTATGTGACCACATATTATGGTCCCATGAACCGATGCACGTGGCTGAAACCATTTGCTGATTTACGTGTGCGGTGGAAATAAAGCGGGGGATTAAGAGATACCAATGGATTGATGATTTCGTATATGTGACAGGCAAAAATAATATCTTATACAAATAGTCAAAAATTAAGATCCTCTTCAAAAATTCATAAAATTACAACTTAACTAAAGTATTTAATTAAATTACAAAAACCTACCGCTGTCACATAATCACCCAAAACATTCATGAATTACCATTTTTTCGCCGTTAATATTATCTCTATCTGCTGATTGGTTACATTATTTTTGTCACATGCTACATTGAAAAGTTAAAAGAGTGAATATGGTACTTGTACATATCTCTTACGTAACATGCTGCATTCAATGCCAACTTTTGATTAGGTTTATTTTTGGTGTACCAAATTATAAATATCCATAAGCTGTTTAATATTATCGTCAGATAACATTTTTTTTTTGTCACACGTGAGACATTCATCAACGTATAGTATTGCTCCCCAAATTCAATATTAAGGCATGTCGACAAAAAAAAAAAAAACAAACAAAAAAACCTAGCCTCCTTGAGACTTTCCAAGTTAAGAGGTTACTTAGTCCAATTTTGTGTATGATTTATTTGAGAGTTTCGAAGAGAATTTGGGGAAAGATATCCACCGTTGATTAAATCGAAACCGAGCACAGCCGTTAATTTTGATCCGGAACTTACTTATCTTCACTCTCCTTGTCATCTCCTTGCATCTTTGTTTCATCATCAATTTGCCTTTTGGTACCTTCACAAACTCCCTTACGTATTTGCATCTTCCGTTTTCTATAGATTAGCGACAATGGAAACTAAAATTTTAAAATTTACATTTTTGACACACAAACCTAATATTAAAGGTAACAAAAAGGATACCATTTTGAGCAGCTTCTTCTTCTAGGCTTGTGTTATTTAGCAGCTGCGTATATAATGTAAATTTACAAAACAAAAGTTACTTTGTTTATCAAATGTCTATTAATTATTGTTGTAATTATTTCGTGTGTTATGTAAGATTAAAATACCTTAACCAAACTGTCCATTCTTTTTCTCATCCTTCTCTGTATGTACCCTCTCGAACACTATTCAACCAATAAGAGGTTGAGAACTTTCAATTACAAGAATAAAAAATATATTAAATTTCTTCAAAATAATTACCACTATTGATGTACCTTGATATGGTATTTAACGTATGCGTAGAAATTTAGTAAGTTCCAAACCGTTTTGTCTAGTCTCTTTCCTTCAACGTGCCGTGAAGTAATATCTGCAATAAGAACAATTGTTTGAACTTTGAACTTAGAGAATACTATGTAATTAAAGAGGTTGGATTAATTTAATAAACAGATAAAAAGAAACAAAATGTACCAAAAGATACAAAACCAGAATTGGTGGTTAAGTCTTGAACTGGTTCTCCTCTAAGTTGGAGAGGAGGAATTGGTGACCAACTACATTGTGGGGCTTTTCCCATTTCCTTTTGGCTTCCCTCTTCAACTAGTTCCTTTTTTATGTATTGTCCAAAATAAAGTTTTCAACATAAAATGATAAATTTTGACAAAGAAAAACTTAGTGTCTCAATGCAAATTAATTCTCTAGTTCCACCCATTGGAAAATTGTCTTTGAGAACATATATGTATGCATTTTAATTGTACCTGGAAGAATGAGTTGGCAATGACCACATCCGAATTGTCTTTAAAATTCATCGGAAACACGGCCGTGATTTTAGCCGGCTGAATAAAAACATTTAAGACTTATTCTTATAGTTATATTTATTCGATAAATTTTAGACGTTGATCATAAAAACCAGTTGGATGTAATTACTCAGATAAATGAATAAAATGCGTAAAATAAACCTGTTTAAAGACGTAAAAAGGTTCACTTGGGTGATAAACAATCTTGATGGGCCTGTTGTTGTTGTTGTTGTTGTTAGGTCGTGAATCATCTTGAAAATTCAAATGTCTCAGCATCTCTTTTAGTTGGTTACTTAATATTATCGCTTGTATTTCAGAAATCTTTGTAATGATTTTAATCGCTTCTGCATTTGATAGACTAAAAATCAAGAAAACTTATAACTATGTAGCGGGGAAAAATACATATCAAATTTTTAATATGAGCTTACCTTTTCCACGTGGTATATTATCAAGGTGAATACCAATGGTCAATTGAAACCCTAATCTTGGTGGATCAACAATATCAATCACACCAACTGCAATATTCTTAATCAGCTCAGAAGTCTGACTTGAAATCTCCTTTAATGTCACTGCTCCTTGTGTCTCAAGCAACGTCGACGTCGATACGTGGACAATACTTGGATTCGAAACCGAGTACTGGATGGCGGATGGGCATGCAAATCATATATTTCATAGTTGGAACAATGAATATAATCGAATAAGCATGAAAAGTATTATAAGGGAAAGGAAGACCCAAATTAATACATACCTTGATGTGATATTGAATCGAACCAAACTCGTGGAAATGTTGATCGACCTCAATAGGTTTTTTAGCACTGCCATGAATTTAAGGACAATAATACATGTATTATATTATGTTGTAATGACTCACATTAGAAGTGAAGATGAACCTAAGATAATATATGACCTCTACACTTATTAGTAATAATTGAAAATTCACGTTTACTAAAACCTTACCGACAACATAAAATCAAATTATCTTGATTGAAGCTAAGCCGGAAAAGATTGTTAGGTACGGAGGTAGCCATACCGGGAATGAAATTGGACCGGAGAATTAAAGAGAGATCGAGAGAGTGTGTCTCACCGGTATATCTTGAGGAGTGTTTCTTTCAGCGATGGAGATGCTCTTTCGAGATATGCCATTCTTGAAACAGCTCGATCGGAAGAAACTTAGAGGGTACAATTATGATAATTTATAACTTTGGTTTGTCATCAATTTTTAACTTGTAGGTATATATGTGTGTCAGTGTGGGAGTCTTAAGTGCTTTTTTTGTATGTATGTGTGTTGGTGAATTATTAGAGGTTGAGTAAAATGTCAGTTTTAATCCGCAATCATTTTTAGCTTGTTTCTAAGCAAACTACTCAATATTGTGGATCCATCTACCTGTGAGCCCAATCTAAACACAGGACCGTTGACAAAGAGAGTTTTAACTTTTAACGCTCTCTCAGCCGTTGGATTAAAGCTGTGGAACTGCTACACGCCAATTTCCACGGTCGCATCATGACAAAGTAGGAATCTGAATTTCTTGGCATTAGAAAAATGGAATCTTACAAAGAGCTAGAATGTGTTAAAAAGAAAAACTTAAATTATATCTTTTTTTTTTTTTTTTTTAACTAAAAATTATATCTTAACCTTATAATTTAAGCGATGGAAAATTTGACAAGGTAACTATTCATATATTTTTCTACTGACCTTAATCAAAACCCTATTGTTAAAGAACATCAATGATTGTTTTTCTTCTTCTTATGTGGACCTTATCATTAATTAAAAAGCAATACTTGAAATGTAATCCAAGCTAATCCAATGAACATTAAGCGTCGGTTGCACAAGAATCGCAATCTATTGACTTCACCAACATATCACCCCACGTATTAATTCACCACTCTTCTTTATTTTTGGTGTGGTTTGCTTAGAGTGAAAGAATGGTTATTGTAGAGCCATAAGTATTTATAATTTTTAAAAATTCTATTATTGTTTTCGTACACAATAACAACTTATTAAAATGTGACCGTTATCTTTGTTATGACTTATGATATGGCCATTAATAATATTCAAATCTAAATTGATTTTGATAATACAGCTCGTAAGATAACCCATTGAACTCTAATTACCCCTAACTCTTTTTTTTATAATTAGAAAAACACAAGTATTAGTCACAGAAAAATATACATATGCTAAGATAACAAGACCTCTACCAATTTGTTTAAATTATATAACTCTATAAGTCTAAATTGAATTTGTCAACATTTATGAAAAATTCAACAAGTTGTAAAGTATATGAAGTATTAAAATATTGCTCTTTAACAAAAAAAAAGTAATTAAAAATTGCAAGTTTGCTAATTAATTAAAAATGATTAGTCAACGGCAAAAGTATCAATGATCTCATAACGAGATTACCTACCGTTTAATCTCATCTACAAAAAAAATTCTGGCGTTAAATCTTAGCCGTTAATTCCTTATTTAACGAATTTTCTTTTCAGACACTTTCTCGGCACCCAATCAGAATTCAGCTGAGAGAAACGCGTCTCTCAGATTTCAATCCTTCACTTTCCCTTTTGATATTTTTTTTCTCGTTATCGGATCAGAACAAAAATTTGAGAAATTCGAGATTTTCCTGGATTGTTGGATTCGATTCTCGTCGATATGGGTATTTCTTGTTTATGTTAATCGTTGTCAAAGTTTTGATCTTTTCCCGAGAAAATTTGAGATTTTTCCGTTCGTCTAATCGAGAGAAAACGCTACCATTATACTACGTAAGTAATGCTTTTTTTCCATTTCCAGTTTTCTGATTTCGCATTCTGATCTTGATTCATGATCAAAGCGTTGACTTTGATGTATTAAAAACTTACAAAATTCAGATTAGGGTTTGTTAGATTCATGTTTATCTTGTGTTCTGTATCAGGATCAAACTCAAACCCCTGAATTTTGAAGCGAAATTGAGGTTAATGGTTAGGGTTTATGAATGATCAGGTGGGTTTGGTATTTGACATGATTTAGGGAACAAAAGAGATCTCTCTATCTTCTCCAGATTGTTTAGAATTTTGGGTCTAGTTTCCATAGATTAATATTTTGAGATTTGTTATGGATACGGCTCGTGGAGAGGGTAAAGAAGCTAATGGATGTGATAATAAGGCTATAGTTAGTCTAAATAGCAGTGAAATTGAAGATCAAATCTCTGAGGAAGAAGAAAGTGAGTCACAATGTTTATTGCCTCCAAGGAAAGGAGGTATGTCGAGAAGCAATGACAAGATTAAGAGGACTGTGCAGTGGAATGACAACAAAGGAGACAATCTTGCTGAGGTTTTAGTTTATGAACCAAGGTAATATGATCCCTAAGAACACATTCTCTGTTGATTGTTTTGTTATTTCTAGTTTTTTTTTCACTGTAATGTGATTCTCTTCTCTTTTATTTGATCTAGCTCTTGCTTACATGTTAATGATTTCGCAAATGCGAGATTCATATCGTAAACCTTAGGTTAGTATTGATTTGGCTATTTCCGTGCTTTGGGAGTGGTCTTCTTGATCTTTGACTGGTGGCCTTTTTGTTTAGTAATGGTTTCCATAGAGAAATTCTTATAGCTTGCTCAAGCTGTTTCTCATGATTTGTCAGCACTGACCTGGAATTCGTTTAGCTTAGTAATTTTGTTGATGAGCTGATGAGGAAAAATTTGACTTGCCTTTGTAATGTAGCTGATAAATTTCTTTAGCGTTTGTGCACCTATCTGTGGCACTAACTGATAGACGAAACAAACCTGTAAGCTTGTTTCTCACTTCAATTTGGGGGTTGTGGAATCTGAATTTAGCAAAGAACCCTGAAGAGAATGTACTTAGTACACCTATTTTTTTTTCCTTTGACCGGTCTAGAAACATTTACGAAAGCCATTGGAAATGCTTGTCGAAGTCAGGTTATCGTTTACATCATTTTGATATTCCATATTGGCAGTCCCTCTATTGTAGGTCCAATACAGTAGTTATCTTCTGTATAAGAACTTACCCTCTTACATTATTATTTGTCCCCTTGGCAATTGAAAACAACTATATTTCTCACGGCTGCCTTCTTTTTATGCTTGCAGTGAAGTTAGCGATACAGAGGACGATGATTCAGATTCTTGTATCTGCACAATTATGTAGTCCTCCAACCCACAATCAACCACCATTAACATGGAGTTTAACAATGAGCTCGTCCTTGTATCTGACTTCTTTTCAGCAATCAGTTTTTGTGAGGACAGACGAACGAGAACTTAAACGATTGGACATCACAATCATGTAATTGTCTGATTTTGTGCTCAGGACTTCTAACAAGAAGCCAGTCCAAACAAGGGATGTAGACTCATAAGCTATATCAGATCGTCTCTCATCTCAGTGACAGGAGTGAGTATATAGATTATTATTACTGTATTGTTCAATAGAAGCTGATCTTCAAAGCGAAGATCTTTGAGTGATGTTTGATTTGACAGGTTTTGATAGTATACTATGTATGTGTTTCTGCAACATACACACTTGTTATAAGTATAATATGCAGCAATTCAATATTTTTTCACCTCTTTTTATAGTAGTTGATCCAAAAACGTTGAAAGATCACAACTTTATCAAGATTTAGTTGCAGAAACAACTAGTGGTAAAAATAACCCAAAAAGGGAAAACCGATACAAACCTCCATCCATACACACAGAAAGAATCAGAAATGCTACAAAGACAAACAACAAAACACACTTTTTTTCTTTTCTTAAACATTGTGAACCCTTTTACCTGTTCTCCATGTTGGTGATATCCACAATTGGGGATCTATTCGACGAACCATTCCCATGAAAACTCTTTGGTGAGGCCAACCAATTGGAAAGGCTAGTATTGACGATTATCTCCTTCAGTAGCGGTTTTGCTTGATCATCCATATCAGTTTCAACATTCTCTTTCATTACCCGTTTAACTTTCACCGGCCTTGCTTTAACCGCTTTCCACTGAGCAAGATTCTCCACTGGATTCAAAAGAGGAGTCACGTCCTGGTCCTTGTCTTCTTCTTCTTCTTCATCTTCATCATCAGCATCATCTTCATAGTCGTTTTCATCATCGGTGTAATAGTCTTCATCCTCCAAATCACTCTCTCCATAACCCATTTCATCCTCATCCTCAAAACTATCAACACAATTGTGGTATCTATAGTTTGAAGGATACACAGATCTACTGCTTAGATCCTCTGGTTTCTTGTCGATAACCGAAGATCCATTGCTTCTTTCTCCTTTTCCCTCTTCATCATCACTGCAATCATTCTCATATCTTGCTGGTACAATAGGTTCATAGGTTTGTACATTCAAGTCAAATCTGACTCTCTTCCTCGTCTTCTTAGTCACCTTCTTCTCCTCCTCCCCCACTTCACCCCTGATACAGCAAACACGAAACAGCCATTTCAATTGGTAATCTCTGCTAGAACCGGGTTTCATTTTGGCTTTTCATCAAAAGAAAAGTCTCAATTTTTAAGTAAATCCAAGTCCCTAATACATTGTAAGCGAGAGAAACACTGACCTGAGGTTCGAATTTGAGATCTTTTCAGGGTTATCTAAAACAGTACTGAAATCTGTTGGATCTGAAGAAAGTAGCGGTTCATAGCTACAGATTCTCTGCAATAAAAGTTAAGGTTCAAATCAGAGTAATGGAAAAAAACCTAAACTTTAAAGAGAGAGAAACAAGAAAGAGTGTTCTTTTAAAAAAGCTTACTTGATCTCGAGGAAGGATCTTCCTAATGGAGTTTCTGCGTTTTTTGTTGGAAGAGAGACCGAAACAACCCATAAAACATCCCATTGGTGGTGATGTTTCTCTGTTTTCGGTTTTGATTCTTGAGAGGAAGAAGAAGAAATGACTTTTGTTGGCTCGTTGATGTGTTTTGAATAGAGGAAATAGGAACGTTGGGGATTTCAAACGGATGAAAGTGACGGTGGGCTCACGGAGTTTATGCCGTCGTTTCTTTATGAAGAAGAGACAAAAACAATTATTGGATTCCTTTTCTATTTTTTAAAACATTGTTTCAATTTATGACAAGAATTGATATTTTTAATTTATGCCAAATAAAAGCATCTATTTGTTTTCTATGCATTACCAAAGCAAGATCATTGTGAGTCTGAAAACTAAATTTTATGAAGAGAGTTGGCAAAAAAAAAAAAAAATGAAGTGACTAAAAAGTTAAAATTATTTTAAAAACATTCATTTTGTTTTCTTTCCAAAAATTTAAATCTAGACTCAATGGTTTGTGTTATGGGCCTTGCAGCCCACTTTAAATAATTTGTAACTAGAGACAAATTTTGGCCGACGTTATACTTGTTTAGTTCAATGTTCACTCTACAGTCTACAGTCTACAGTAATAGTTATAGTGCACAAATTTTAATCACCGTGTGGCACTAATAAATTTACTCGTATATAACAAATATGATTATGTAAAAACAGCTTAAATTAAAGTTTGATTGTAGAAGTGTTAGTTATCACCAAAATATGAAAATATCAGGCTATAACAATTTTACAATTTACTTTTGAGATTAAAAGTTTGGAATTTTCAAATTAAATGCAATGAAACATCCTTTTACCGGTCCTTGATGAACTTGAGACGATTCCGCGATCCAATTATTTTTCTTTTTTTGTTAATTGTTTTTGCAAAACGGCAAAGATATTCATAAAGAAAAGATCTTTTTTAAAAAGTCGCGTTTGAGGGTTCAAATTTTGGAGTACTAGTGTCTATGCAATAATAACATGATTAATTGATTCCTCTTTTAAGCTGAATCTGTAGATCACATTGTATACCTTGATTGGCTAATTTCTTCTTTAATAATTATTACCATACACCCTAACAAAGTTTGCCAAATGAAATGTGTGTTTTCTGTCGGACCTATAACCTTCATGACATGAGTTTGAAATTGAATAGCTCTAATACTCGGTTCTTTGGCTTGATGCAACAAATTTCCAAGGTTATGCTAATGATTTTGTGATTCTACACTTTAGGTTTACGATTCATGTAAAGATTCTTAGCATATTCAATGTTATTTGATTATTTTGTTTTGTAAACTCGAGTTTGGTATTAAGATATCATAGAAACTTCGTTTTCTCCAACAGTGCTCGATATATTTTTAGTAGAGGAGTAGAGCTGTCGAAGATTGCTTTGACGAGCTCGATTTGACATAAGATTTTGTTTTTGCGGATCAATGCTTCTCTTTTTATATGATGAAAAGTAACGACTCTAATTGAGTACAAAAATACTAAGAATTTTATCACCAAAAATCAAAGCCTCAAAATGATCTAACATTAATAAGGTCACTGATCCATAATCTTTTCATTCATGTGTTTAAGTTTTAACCCATCACGTGATATCTACAGTTTTGAATAAAATCGTCCTATAGCATGAGATATTGACCGTCCGATTTTGACCACTGCAATCGTACACCGTCTAATATTTTTGCTCAAATATCTCTCTCCTTTTTCTCCATATTAACGGATTAATAATAAAATTTGTTAACTATTTTAATTCTCAAAATGGGCTTTATTACATGATTAAAAAAGAAAGAAAAATAAATAAACGAAGCTGATATTGAAAAAAAGTCTTCTTTTTTTTTTTTTAATTCTCGATCTCTTTCACTCACTTTAACCCAATTGGCCGCTATTTTCCAAAGTCTGTTTTTTTTTTTTTTAATCTCTCTCTTCTCTCTCACCCAATTTCACAAACCCGAAACCCTAATTTTCTCGGGACACTGAAATTTACAGCGTCTTCTTTCCTCTTCTTCACCGGGGAGATTTGTCGGTGTTGAATCTAGGGTTTTTGGGTATCAACGGAGAATTGAAGAGAGAAAATTCCTCACAATGGAATCAGATCAGGGAAAGCTATTTATCGGCGGGATTTCATGGGATACCGACGAGAATCTTCTGAGAGAGTACTTCAGCAATTTCGGCGAGGTTTTGCAGGTCACTGTTATGCGAGAGAAAGCTACTGGTCGTCCTAGAGGATTCGGATTCGTCGCATTCTCGGATCCCGCTGTTATTGATAGGGTTCTTCAGGACAAGCACCATATTGATAATAGAGATGTAAGGAAAAATCTTGATTTGCTCTTGTTTCTGAAATGGTTCTTTCTTTTTTTGAATCTTTATAGTAATTGATACTCCCTCCTGATTAATTTGGCTGTAAAGTTTGATGCTTTGAGTGTTTTCTTGTCATGTTTGATGGTTTTAAGTTGTGTTAATTTCTTAGGTTGATGTGAAGAGAGCAATGTCTAGAGAAGAGCAGAGTCCTGCTGGGAGATCAGGGAATTTTAATGCTTCTAGGAATTTTGATAGTGGAGCTAACGTGAGGACTAAGAAGATATTCGTGGGAGGTTTGCCTCCTGCATTAACATCAGATGAATTTCGGGCTTACTTTGAAACTTACGGTCCTGTGAGTGATGCAGTCATTATGATTGATCAGACTACACAGCGTCCTCGAGGATTTGGGTTTGTTTCTTTTGATTCAGAAGATTCGGTTGATCTTGTTTTACATAAGACTTTCCACGATTTGAATGGTAAACAAGTAGAAGTTAAACGGGCTCTTCCTAAAGATGCTAACCCTGGAGTAGCCAGCGGTGGTGGTCGTGGCAGTGGCGGAGCTGGAGGGTTTCCGGTCTATGGTGGTTCTGGTGGTAGTGGCTATGAGGGTCGTGTGGATTCCAATAGATACATGCAGCCGCAAAACACTGGAAGTGGTTATCCTCCTTATGGTGCTTCTGGGTATGGTACTGGTTATGGTTATGGAAGCAACGGTGTAGGTTATGGGGGTTTTGGTGGGTATGGCAATCCAGCTGGTGCGCCTTATGGGAATCCTGGTGCCCCTGGAGCTGGGTTTGGAAGTGGTCCAAGAAGTTCATGGGGCGCTCAAGCACCTTCGGGTTATGGGAATGTGGGATATGGAAATGCAGCTCCGTGGGGTGGTTCTGCTCCCGGTTCGGCAGTGATGGGTCAAGCTGGTGCATCTGGAGGTTATGGCAGTCAAGGTTATGGCTACGGTGGAAATGATTCCTCTTACGGGACTCCATCTGCCTATGGTGCAGTAGGTGGGCGATCTGGCAATATGCCTAACAGCCATGGTGGCGGTGGCTATGCGGATGCTTCAGATGTCTCTGGAGGTTATGGGAATCACCAAGGGAACAACGGGCAAGCTGGTTACGGCGGAGGTTATGGAAGTGGTAGGCAAGCTCAACAACAGTGATTGAAGAAGAAAGACTACTACAATGTGGTTTTATCGCTGACCTTGAAACCTCCTCTTTCCGCCTTAATGATGTCATGTCTTGGGCGGTTTGACCAGGAGGTCGACCTACGCTGGATTATCTCTTTTGTTAGTTTCTCAATAAGTTGTTTTCAGGCAATTCCGGATACTGCTAGTATTTCCTATCAAGTTGTAGTTTTTAAGTTTGCGTGCTTATTTATATTTGTCGCTTTGGAATGGTTTTCTTTCTCTATCCTCCTCCTAGTGTTTGTGTTTAACGATACATCCTCCAGATTATCATTATTCATCTTCCTTTGGTTCATTCATTTTTTTGAATATTCCATTCCAGATTCTTGCTTTTGCATCTCCTCTGTTTAGGTGAAGATTATTTGCTCGGTGTTCAATGGGATCTAAGAAAAGTGTTTGGTAAAACAAGAGCTGTAATAAACTACTTTGAGATTGCCTACATTACTATTCTCTTCCATGTTTGCGCTTGCGTTGTTACAAGAAGGTTGTCTTGGCCAGTAACAGTCCCAAGATCCTTAAGAGTATTGTCTTTTGTCAGACAAAACCTGACTAAACTGGTCTGTTTGGTGGATTGTGCAAAGTTCCATTAGAAGGTAAAGGATCAATGTTCTTCTTCCCTTATCATCTTTGGTCTTCCTCCTTTAACCTAAACCACCGATGTTTCAAATCCAAACCGGTTCTTCTTTTTCCTAGTTATCTATGTTTTTTTTTCATGATCTTACTAAATTCATTGAAGACGGACAGAAGAAATTACTAGTATAAAAAGTCGTCCTTTTCTTTTCTATATTATACACTAATTAAACGTAGTGGTCGTATAGAAATAAATGAAGACGATTTAGTGGAATCTCTGTTAAAGAAATATTTACAAAAAATGGTATATAGCGCTGGCAACTATCTAGTACATATATGTAAGGTTTTACAGATGAGATTTGGATGGACAAAATTTACTCTAAATAGGAAATTTACTAATTCTAGTATTTTTCATTTTGTGATTTTTCCTAATTTTACTCACATCCTCTCTGATTCTCAATACAGAAAATATTGCTGTAGATTACCTTTTTCCAACTTGTCGCCTTCCCCATCCACCTCCTCAGTTTCTCTTTTTTGTTTTGCACCTGTTTTATTTTTACGTTTGCCTTATAATAAACCACAAGTAATGTCTTTTCCTTTCCTCTTTCCTCTCTCATTGAGTAATCTAATTTCATAAAATCCCGTAAAGTTTTCCCTTCCACCCTCTCCCCTCCTCCGCCATGACCCATCATCACCGGAGAGAGTCCTTCTCGGTAACTCCCTCTAACATGGGAGGTTCCGTGGTGCTTTGTCCTAATACCGACCTTCTTTGGCCATTTGGGAAGCTTGAAGGGCTTGATCGAGATGATATTCGTGAGACGGCTTATGAGATCTTCTTCACGGCTTGCCGGTCATCACCGGGTTTTGGAGGTAGGACTGCTCTCACGTTTTACTCTAGCCATAATAGCAATGACCATCATGGAGACGGAGGAGGAGGAATAGGTTCTGGTGGCTCAACTGGTGTTGGGTCTGGGTTTGGGTCTTCAGGGAGGAAAGAGGTGGTCACGACCCCTACAAGCCGGGTGAAACGGGCTTTAGGTTTGAAGATGCTTAAACGGTCTCCGTCTAGGCGAATGTCGACCATAGGA